CTTACACCATACACAAGAGTAAACTAAAAATGGGTAAAAGACTTAAAAGTAAGTTGAGAGACCATAAAAATCCTAGAAGAAATCAAGGGAGTGAAATCTCAGACATCTTATGAAGCAGTATTTTCATTGATACATTGCCTAAGTCAAGGGAAACAAACAAACAAATAGGAGTATATCAAATTAAAAAGCTGGTGCACAGCAAAAGAAACCATCAACAAAATGAAAAAGGAAGCTACTTTATGGGAGAACATGTTTGCCAATGATACATCTGATAGGGTGCTAATTTCCAAAATATACAAAGAACTCATACAACTCAACACCAGGAAGATAATCCAATTAAAAATGGGCAAAGGACCTGAATAGATACTTCTCCAAAGAGGACATACAGATGTCCAATAGACATATGAAAAAATGCTCAACATCACTAATCATGAGAGAGATGCCAATTAAAACTACAATGAGGTATTTTTTTCACACCTGCCAGAATGGCTACCATCAATAAATCAACAAACAAGTGTTGGCGAGGATGTGGAACCTAGTACACTGCTGGTGGGAATGCAGACTAGTGCAGCCACTGTGAAAAACAGTATGGAGGTTCCTCAAAAATTAAAAATGGAACTTCCTTTTGTGCCAGTGATCCCACTTCTGGAAATATATCCTAGGTATCCTGAAACACCAGTAGAAAAGATTATATGTACCCCTATGTTCATAGCAACCCTATTTACAAGAGCTAAGATTTGGAAACAGCCCAAGTGTCCATCAGTAGATGAGTGGACAAAAATGCTGTGGTACATTTACACAATGGAACACTATCCAGCTTTTAAAAAAGGAGCTTTTACCTTTTGAGACGACAAGGATGGACCTGGATATATTATGCTAAGTAAAATAAGCCAGTTAGAGAAAGACAAATATCTCATAATCTCACTTATATGTACAATCCAATGAACAAAATAAACTAATGAACAAAATAGGGCCAGAGGTATGGGTACATGGAATAGAATAACAGATCTCAGTTATCTCAGTGAGGGTGGGAGAGGACAGGAAGAGATTAACCAAAGAACATATATACATATATGCGTAACCTATGGACACAAACAATAGTATGGGGAAGGCCTGGGATGGGCTGGGGCATTGTGGGGGGGGGGGTGTAAAAAGGGAGGAAATGAGAGACAGTTTTCAACAATTGAAAAAAGAACACAATAGTTTCCATTAAAAAAAAAAAAAAAAAAAAAAGAATGATGAATTTTGCCCAGACCTGAGATTTAAGACTAAGTATAAAGAAAGTCTGTAAAATGTTGGAATCGTCACTTGTTTCAGAGAGCACCTACTAATTTGGAACATTTATGAAGCTCATAGTACCAAGTAGAACATTTACCTAGTTTGTTCTAATATTTTTCAGGTCATTAATCTGGAAAGCTTTTGAGTCAGAAAGCCATTACAAAAATGAACCTTGTTGAATGGAATAGTGTGTTTTACTTGTTCAGGGAAGATGTCCTCCCATAACCAGCCCAAGGCAGTTTTTAGTGGAGACCAAACTCATCCAGCTGGCTTAGATTTATTTGTTGCTGCTCAGTTACAAAGTTGGGTTTACTTACAGCAGCAAGGACTGACAATAACTTGTCCAGCACATGAACATGATGATGTCTCTTGCTCCCTATCTTGCTAATAAAAGAATAGCCATCAGGGTCTGAGCAATTTCTGTATTCAATGAATTTTATAAACATCTTTATTGAGATATAATTTACACGCTATAAAATTCACCGATTCAAAGTGTACAATTCAGTGGTTTTAGTATATTGAGGAACATTTTCATCACTCAAACAAATGAAATAAAACCTTCCCACTGGCAGTCTCTTCTTATCCCTGACCCACTCTCCAGTCCAACCACTAATCTACTTTCTGTTTCTATATATTTGCCTTGTCTGTATTTTTCAGATAAGTGGAATCATAGAGTATGTGGCCTTTTGGGTCTGGCTTCTTTTTTCTCTTTTTTTCAATCCTCACCGGAGGATATGCTTTTATTGCTTTCAGAGAGAGAGGAAAGGAGAGAGCAAGAAATATCAATGCAGGAAACATGGATCAGCTGCCTCCTGTACACAGCCCAAAAGGGGATTGAACCCACAACCTGGGTATGTGCCCCGATGGAGAATCAAACCCACATCCCATCGGTGCACAGGATTATGCTCCAACCAACTGAGTCACACTGGCCAGGGCTGGGTCGTCTTCTTTTACTCAGCATAAGGTTTTAAATGTTCATCTATAGTAGTATCCATCAGTACTTTTTTTATTGCCAAATATTTCATTGCCTGAATATAACACATTTATCTTTCATTATTTGAAACATTTAGCCAGTTTCACTTTTTTTTCTGAATGAATAATGCTGCTAGGAACAGTTGCATACATGTTTTTGTGTTGGCATATGTTTTCATATCTCTTGGATATATACTTAGGAGTGAAATTGCTGGGGCATATGGTAACTCTATGTTTAACTTTTTGAAGAACTGCCAGACTGTCTTCCAAAGGACTGGAGCATTCCACATTCTCCTCAACAGTTAATAAGAGTTTTAATGTCTTTTTAAGAATAGCCATGCTAGTAAGTAAATAGTGGTATCTCATTGTGGTTTTGATTTGCATTTACCTAATGGCTAATGATGTTAACTAATTAAATTTTAAGGTCATACATTTTCATGAACAACTATAGTGATAATATATGCCATTCTATTTTAATATTAGTGAATATTAATTTTTAGTCATTTTCAATAAAGTGGTAAAAAATATAGACTGTTAAATGTCATAATTAGCAAGTGTACTTCATTTCCAGCTCATCCTTAAAAATTCTAACTTGGCTACATAAATATAATAAAATATATTTAGCTACTATAAAGTACAGGGCAAAGAGACATCCTTGAATCTCTTATTTAATATTTTTGTTCAAACAACATGGTTTCTGTTGGGGGAGTATCTAAATCCAGTTCTTCTAACATGAATAAAAATGCATCCACATCTGGAACCCAGACCACATGTGAAAGGCTCCACAGGGTTTGGTCATTCTTTGTTTTGAGGAGGCAGAAAACATAATGTATTCTTAATAAAATAAAAAAATCACGTTTGCAATAAAATAATTACAAGAATAAATAGAATGATTTTATTTTGGGGTAGTGTACAAAAACATTAAATGAAATTAGATATTGCAGTTTAAAAAGCAGCTTTGTTTAATAAAAATGCCAGACACCTTTTTCCTTGATCTGGATTATTTAATGTATATCAATGAAAAAAAAAACCCAAGATATAATATTTTCATAGTCATTTTCAATTATGGTCCAGATGTGTTCAAGATCAATAAAATGTAAATCAATCCTGCAAACAATTTTAAAAGGAGAAATTAATATACTATTTTTGATATTTTCTCTGCCAGTCATTTCTAGGACAATAGAATGAGAAGAAACTGCTTTTTCCACCTAGACTAGGAAGCATATCTCATGGAATTATAAAAGTAATGTGATCCTGAATGAAAACAGGAAAATGACATCTATAAGGCACATTAGTCAGTTCATTATCTGAGAGTTATGCCAGCTTAGGGGGGAAAGTACTGAGAAATGGGACAGCAAAACCACTTATAAAACATTTAAGGGCTGTCAATCAGAAAAATTCAAATCAAAACCACAATGAAATACCATTTAAGAGCTGTCAATCAGAAAAATTCAAATCAAAACCACAATGAAATACCATGTCATAGTAGTCAGAATGGCTATCATCTAAAAGTCAACAAATAATGTATCAGTGAGGATGTGGAGAAAAGGGAACCCTCATTCACTGTTACTGGGATGCAAGTTGGTACAGCCACTATGGAAAACAGTATGGAGATTCCTCAGAAAACCAAAAACAGAACTACCATATGACCCAGCAATCCTTTCTGGGTATTTATTCTAAGAAAATGAAAACTAATTTGAAAAGATATAAACACCTCTATGTTTATTGCACCATAGCCAAGATTTGAAAGTAACCTAAGTGTCTATCAATAGATAATGGATAAAGAAGAGTTGGTATGAATGTCACACACACACACACACAAAATGGAATATTACACAGCAATAAAAAACAAAATCTTGCCTTGGTGGACCTAGCAGGTATTATGCTAAGTGAAATAAGTCAGACAGACAAAGACAAGTAACATATGGTTCCACTTATACATAGAATCTTAAAAAACAAAAACAAAAGAACAAACAAAACAAAAACAGACTCATAGAAACAGAGATCAAACTGATGCTTGCCAGAAGGGTGTAGGGTGTAGGGATGGGTAAAAAAGGTGAAGGGGAATATAGTCATTAACATTGTGATAAGTTTGCAGAGTAAGATTATTCCAATTTAGTGTGGTTATCATGTTGTAAGGTAAATGAATGTGGAATCATTATTGTACACCAGAAAGTAATATAATATTATATATAAACTATACTTTCAAATTTAAGGACTGAAAAGGGAAATCTATTTTTTTAAATAAGAAACAAAGCTTTTACACTGAAAAAGAAGTGGGCTATTGATGACTGTTTATCTGTCCACAGGCCTTTATATAATCTGTTCCCTCTCTTCACGCAATTAACCATAATAAAATCGGCTAAAGATTTTTAGAGTTTTAGGTGAGGCATAAGTAAGAATTTATTGAAAAACAGGTTCATTAGCCACATAAAATATCTTCAAAATAAAGTTGTAAGTTTAGGAGCCTTTAAGATGTGTTTGTATTGATTTAGAAAACATTTACTTGGAAACAGGTACCAAGATAAGGAGTTTTCTGGCTCTGGAGTACTGTGACACTTTTTGAAAAACATTAGATAGAGATGACCTGAAATTTTTATTTAATGATGTCGCCTAACCAAAGTTATTTGGTGATTGGTTAAGAAATATAAGACAGAAGCTATTTTTAAAAATATAAACGGCTGTTATGTTATTGGAAATATACCTTCTAACTATAACCACAAAATAATCTTTATATTAAACAATTTTAGGGTTTGATGATACTTTCCAGACATAGAAAATTAAAGGAACTTTCTCTATCTGAGTGTTATAAAATCACCGATGCTGGAATTCAGGTAAGATAATTAAGTCATTTTGATAAAGAATTAAGATAGAAAATTAAGCACAAATGAAATAAACTTTGTAAGTCACAGTGGGAAAAAAAAAATGGGTTGGAAATGTAACAACATATATGTGGTCTTGGTTGAGACAAGATCAACTCCTGGTATTTAGTCGGGTCTCTGCCGCCTAAGGTGACTGAGAGGATTTGTTTTCTCATTTTCCCATTTACTTTCTCTCTTCCTGTTGTCAGACTTGTAGGATAAATAGGGATTGATAGACATTTTACTTGGAGAATGATGAAATGCAATATAGTAAAAGTATAATTGTATAAAGAAGGTGTTCATATATAGAAATGTTATATAGTCTATGAAAATTGGGAGAATTTGAAAAATTACACCAGGTACTTAACAATTAGGAACTTAAGTTACTCAAACACACTTTACCAGAATGGAAAGCATAAGGTAAGTAACTGGATAGGATAAATGATTATGTGTTCAATTGGTACTTTAAGAACTCATGAGAAAGGTAAATTTCTTAGACCTGGCCTTGAGGGATACATAGGAAGTCATAATAAAGTAGCTACTGTGAGCAAGGCACAACATTAAGTAGCTTAATGTGCTATTAAGATAGAAAAACCAGCCCTGGCTGGTTTGGCTCAGTGGTGAGAGCATCAGCCTGTGGTCCAGAGAGACCTGGGTTCGGTTCCCACTAAGGGCATGTACCTCGGTTGCAGTTTGTCCCTGGCCCTGTTGGGTCATGCAGGTAGCAGCCACTCGATGTGTCCCTTTCATGTTGATGTTTCTCTCTCTTCCTCCCACTCTATCTGAACAAAAAATGGAAAAATGTCCTCGGGTGAGGATTAAAAAAAAAAAAAAGATAGAAAAACCAGAATTATATGTCATACATGTATTAAACTAGGATAAAATCTGGTTACCTATTAGTAAAAATGGAAGATAACCAATAATGTAGCAATGGGTAAACTATTGAACACGATGGAAGATCCATATAAAGTTTCCTGAGAGTTCAAAATCACCGCAACTTATGAAAACCTGGGGCTAAACTAGGAAAAATTATTTTAAAGAAAGAAACTCTCTTTCTTATTAAGGGAAAAGGATTTATTCCACAAGTGGAAAGATAACACAAGCGACAGATGACAAATCCAGAGCATAACAAACTTGCAGTTGTCTTCCATGAGTTTGAAATGGACTTCACAAGTTCTAACATGATTAATAGGAGAGTGGTGAGCTACAGTGGGTACCAGGTTAAACGGTGCTGTAGACTGTAGCATATAATTCTACAGTTTTATGGAAATGAAGAGTAGAAATGGAGGACTGCTGCTCTAAATGGTTGATTGACAATATGGCTTAGTAGGGGAAAGTTGTTTTCAAATTATTCTTCCTATATTTAATTTTGTCTGGACAGTGTAATGGTACTTAAGGGAAAATGTAACACCATTAAGAAATCTTCTTTAAGAGGCATTAGTGTCAAGCAATGTCAATTTCTCCCAATTTCAGACCCTGGGTACTGAGGTTCTAAGAAGTTCCTAAGAAATGTGCTTACTAGTACATTCAATTGTATAAAGAAATAAAAAGGCCCAGCCAGTGTGGCTCACTGGTTGAATGTCAGCTGATGCACCAGGAGGTCACTGGTTCGATTCCCAGTCAGAGTACATGCCCTGTTGTGGGCCTGATCCCCAGTGGGGGGATGCAGGAGGCGGCCAATCGATGTTCTCTCTAATTGATGTTTCTATCTCTCTCTCCCTCTCCATTCCTCTCTCTCTAAAAATTAATAAAGAAAAAAATTAAAAAAAAAAGAATTAAAAAGAACAAACACTCTTTCAAAACAGAGATCACAGAGAAGTCAACAACTTCCATATAGGACAAGTGTGTAACTCGACAACAAGAAAGGGCTACAAAACATTTAAACACATGTAACCTATTAGGAGAAAAGCCAAAAGGTTCCTCTAAGGTTAAAATAAACCATGATTTGAGTATTGCAGTCCATTTAAAGATTAAACATGAATTTACACAAAACTTTATCCATGAATATGATCTAGTCAGGCTTTCAAAATGTCTTTTACAAGGTGATAGAACAAAAATTATTAAAATAAAAGTTAAATATTAATATTTCTAATATTGAGTTATATTTCTTAGATGGTAATCAATTACATTGAACCAATAACTATGAATCATACAGAAGTATTGAAATCTACCATAATAATAAGTGATGGCCTCTTAATATCCATCAATTATTAATTTTTAAAGTGCTCCTTGAGATGAGAGAGTACTGATCAAAGTCTGAGGCTAAGTATCAGGAAGCTACCACTTTCTGCTTTTTCTCTTTGGGTCAGTGGGTTCCAGGCATTTTTATTTTCACTCTTTAGAGCCTTGAGATCGTAGATAAAAGTATTTACTCATATGCTAGCTATGTGATCACACAGCTGAGTTTAGCATAGCTTTAAAAAAATGTAATCTTTTAAAAATCAGTGTATTTTTATTTTCAGTGATCTAAAAGAGAAAAATATGGGAGAATACAGGAGCATAGAAATATAGAATTATTTAATGATCAGTTGTACAAGATCAGCTATTCTATTCATGTTCACAAAATTTTTTTCTCTCTTATCCTCTTTTTCATGCTTTTGGAGTGTGTGTGTGTGTGTGTGTGTGTGTGTGTGTGTGTGTGGTGACTTTTATCCAGTTTTACCCCTCCCAAGGTTCACTCTTCTGGGCATGTGGTAATCTTTCTCCTCTGTGCCTCTTCCATCACAATTATTAAGTCCCAAAAGAAATAAGACAAAGGTTGGGGATGGGGTGGGGGTGAGTGACACATAAGCCAATTCCACAATTCCTTATCTAGGTTTACAAAAGAGAGGGGAAGGGAGTAAAATAAGGTGATTAAGTTCAGATGTTTATGAATTATCCACAGAATTCATCAGGAATTCTTTTTCCTGTTACTTATAAAAGGTTATGATAGGAGATTATCTTTTTAGCATAAGACATTGAAAACTTATGTTTTACATAATGATTTAATGAGAAAAATGAGGAAGTGAACATTTTTACCCTGGTTAGGTTTTGCAAGAGTCGTGAATATAATAAGAATAAAAATTTACTCTTTTTAGTGTTTTACTGAAAACCACAGTATATGCAGATTGAGTGTGTGGTGTCTCAGTATTGACTTTTTAGGATCTGGTTTTAATTACTTTCTTCAACTTCAGTTTTTTTCTGAGAACATTAGACATTCAATGTTCATGTTAAACTAAATTTATTTGGTGCTTTTGAAAGACACACATATTTTGGGGGAGATGTTTGATTATAGTCATAGTCGAGCAGGTCTCAAGAAACCTTTCCTTGCGCATTTTATACATTTAATTAAATAACAGACGGTCAAGTTTGGCAAAAGAACTTGTTTAATTGGGATGTTACAATACAGATAAATTGGAAATCCTGTCTTATTGTTTGGATAGAATCAATGGAATAGATCCAATTATGTAATCTGGTTGCTTTTTGTATTCTTTTAATCTAGTTTATTCTAGTTTAATCTAGTTCATTCCCAAAAAGGGAATGAAGTCTGCTATAAATGCATTAATATAATATTAATGCAGATGAATATGCACATTTTTATTTATTTGGATTATTTGTGAGTGAAAACCTTGCAGCTAGACAATTTTTTAAATTATTATTTCAGTGTTGGTAGGTTGAAGCAGTTGGTTAAGAAAGGGCATTAGAGGGGAAAGTCAGGTTTAGCTATGACCTACCACAAGGACTTACATGTGTGTTTTGCAGTGAAATAATGTGCATATATGTATTTACATGTAAATATGTATGTAAATGGATGCCCATGTGTGCAAATGAGATGTATACAAGGTTTAGTATATATTAGTTTACATGTTTAAATGTAAATAAATAAAGATATTATCTATATGTCTAGTATATGTGTTTAAATTAGATATATGTACACATCTTAGTGTATGTTAGATTGCACACATATATCAGTGTGTCTGTATATTATGCCCAAATTATAGAGAAAGATATTGTAAGATTATATATTTTGCCTTGGCTGGTTTGGCTCAGCAGTTAGAGCGTTGGCCTGCGGTCCAGAGAGATCTGGGTTCAGTTTCCTCTAAGGGCATGTGCTTCATTTGTCCCTGGCCCTGATTGGGTTGTGTGGGTGGCAGCCACTCAATGTGTCCCTTTCATGTCGATGTCTCTCTCTCTCTCTCTCTCTCTCTCTCTCTCTCTCTCTCTCTCTCTCTCTCTTCCTCTCTCTCCCTTCCACTCTATCTGAACAAAAAATGGAAAAAAATATCCTCGGGTGAGGATTAAAAAAAAAAGATTATATATTTCTAGGCTAAGTCCAAATAAATGGTGAACAGTCAAGGCAAATAATAAAAAATTAGTTAAAAATTATCTTTTTGTTTATATTTTAATTTTAAAAATTAAATATCCATGTAAATAACAAGGCTATTTACCTATGGAAGTGTGTGGATTAGCTCTCTGATAGCAAAGGCAATGATATAATATTGGGAATGTGGGTCTAGCAATCAAAAGTCCTAATTTTTATCCTGATTCTTCCTCTAACATGGTCACATAATTTTAGGCAATTTACTTAGCATCACAACATTTCATAGCTCCTGCTAGAGCAAGGGTCAACTCTTTTTTAGTACTCTTTCTGTGATGTTCTCCTGTGATGACCAGATAGTTTACATTTTAGGCTTTGTAGACCATATAGTTTGTGTTACAACTAGTCAGTTTTGCTATTGTTAACAACATGTAAACAAATAAGAGTAGCTGTGTTCCAATAAAACTTTATGGACAATAAAATTTGAATCTAACATAATTTTCACATGTCATGAAATAATATTCTTTTGATTTTTTTCCAACCATTTAAAAATGTAGAAACCATTCTCAGAATGTGGGCCATACAAAAACAGCTGACACCAGATTTGGCCCATATGTAAAAACTTGGTAATTTGCCAACAGCTACTAGAGCCTGACAGAACTTTCTAATTTTGGCT